GGGGGGGGGGGAGAAACGGATGAAAACGAAATCGGATACTGTCGGAAAGCACGCGGAATACCTCAAGTGGAGGGCTCAAAAGCGCTCCGCGCGGCGTTTTGAGCTTTTGAGCATCTCACCGGCTCCTCTGCGGGATATAGAGCCAAAAGACTGTATCGTTATGTGTGTGTGTGCAGATTTCCGGAAACTGAGCCATCCATTTTATTCATTTCATTTTCAATCTCAATCCCAAATTTGTTGTGTTCTGGCCAAAAGAATTCTGGTCGCTTAAGTTTTCGAATGCATTTCTTTCATTTTATTTTTCAAAACCCAGAAAAAAAAAATAATTGAATATTCAATATTTTTTCTGCCTCAATTTTCAGCTGCTTACACCTCCGAAACTTTCAAAACTTCCAGAAAAATTGAAAAAAGTTTTCTACTTCCCCTTTTACTTTTTTGGGATAAATGACGTCTTCTGAATTTTCTATATCATATTCAGCCTTTCCAAAAAAAAGAGAGAAGCACATTTTCATTACGTCAAACAACTTTTTTTCAGACGGGGGAGGCTAATGCTGAAAATAGTAGGACAGACAGGAATAGGAGGAGCATTTCTCTAGGGGGGCGGTCCCTAGAGAAATGAGAATTTTTTGTTTGTCATTAGGAGGAAAAGGAATAGTATTGTTTTTTGTTAGATGCCAATGCTAGATTTTTATTCGTATCTCTTCGATTTTTTTGCGGCCTATAAATTCAAATGTTTGCAGTTGGAAATTTGAATTTTTGGATTACTATACTTTTGTGTTCTACTTTTTTCCTTTGAGCCTATTTTTGCTCTTGGACGCTTAGACGCTCGGACCCGCGAACAAGCCTAAAATTATTCTGGTACAAAAAATCGGAGCTGTGGAAGAGAAAAACCGATGGCCGTGCCCGAAGGTCTTATAACAACAACAACAACAACTACCGTAGCCTAATAATTTTCCGATTTTTTGCACTTTTTCGAGTGAAAAGCTGTATTTTTTCATCGATTTTTCGCAATATTTTTAGACTTTCTTAGGTTTTCCAGCTATTTTTGAAGATTCTTTTTCGATTTTTCCGGTTTTTTGAATCTGAAATTTAATGAAACGGCGTTTGATTACCGTAGGTTACTGTAGAAAGTAATATTTCTCTTGTCCAAGGGTCCGTTTAAAAGCGCAAGAAAAACTACGGTATCTTTTTGAACTTTGGATTTTGGCATCAAACAATACTGTAGTTATGCTCTTGCGCCTTTAAATGTTTTTTTTAGAGAGACCCTCGCTCTCAACATACATTTTCATCCATATTCCAAAACTAATCAAACCACCTGGCCCACCAAATCGATACATATTTTTAATGAATTTTTTTGCTAATCCTAGTATATTTAGATTGATTAACGTTGTTGAAATGTCAAGTTTATATATCAAGTGATCCAGTATAAATCCACCCAGAAAGCCATAAAGTTATTTTTGTCAAGTTTCCACTATTCCAAGATTCTAGAAATGTCTGGTTTTTGATTTCTGAGGTTCTGTTAGTTCAAATACTGAAATTCTGATGAGGTTTTCAATTTGTTAAGCCATAAATTTTTGTCTGGTACTACCTCAATTCTTGTGATTCCATGCTTTAGAGAATTATGTTTTTTGCGTTCTAGGAGTCTGAAATTTTGAAAATGGCAGATTCCTAGCACAAATTCTGTAGTTCTGACGACGTTTTCAATTTGTTAGATCCCAAAAAGTTGGATTAGTCAGGACTAATCCTCCAAAACTACTACTACTACTACTAGTACGCTATACAACAACAAAAATAAAAGTTGGTCTCTAAAATTGTATAGTAGCAGGATTCGGAGTTTTCAGAATTTCAGTAGTTTTGAATTTCCGAATTTTTGGATTTCTAAATTTCTGAATTTCTGAATTTCTGATACTTTTTTCTCTACAGTAATCCTTCACATTTTTTCAAGTTTTTCAAAAAAGATTGCAGTTGTTTGTGTCATAAGACTTCCATTTTCTTAAAACCTTCCAAACATTCCTTGAAAGACTCCCAAGAGAGACTTCGAAATCACCTGAAGGGCATAGAACCTCTTCTATTCCTTATTTTGTCATTCTATTCTCATTTCCCTTTTCTGTTTATTACGTCTTCTTTTTCTAGACTTTTTCTAGACAAATTGATATTATTGTAACGGATCAATGAACACACGAGAAGGAGAAAGGGCGGAGCTTTATCTGGAAATTCGGGAGCCACGTCATTCTTGTTTTGTTTCGGTAGTAACAAAGTTGTACCCGAGTGGGTACCGAGATTAGAATAGCTTTTTTTGTGTTACGTATGAGATGTCTGACAACAAGAGAGTTTTGTTTTCAGGTTTGGATATGTTTGGGTTTTTTGGCTTTTTCTGAAAACGATATTCATTTTATTGATTCAATGTTTCAGACCCATACTGTATGGACCCTACATATGAAACCTGTTTCGCTGACATAAAAAAGAAAGTACCCTGTATTTTTCAGCCAAGAACATTTTAGAAACTTAGTGTGGAACATTCAATGACTTGCGATTCAAAAATGAGTGTTTATTACGTCTCGACCTCTAATTGAAGATCTATTTTATCTCAATTGATATAAAAGATATCGGAAAGTGGTCAACTGATAAAATGTTTTGAATATTATAAAAAACATTTTGTTAGTTTATCACTTTTCGATATCTTTTACAGAAAACTAGATAAATTGGCTCAAAGTTGAAAGTCAGCGAGGTCACTCTGTCATAGTGTTTATGTTATTTTGGAACCTTATTTTTTTCTATTCATGTCATTTTTCAATTTTTCAATTGAATTTTGTGATTTTCTTGTTTTTCAAACCGCAATACTAAATCCCTCATACTTGAAAACCCTAAACGTCGCCTGAAAATATGAAAAACCGTTTGTGCTCTTGAAGAAGCTCACCCAATGCTTATCCACCTCGAGCTCAATTATCCTGGCTCTTATAAGAGATATTAACAATTGGTCAACTGATAAATCGTTTATCATAGCATCACCAGTTTTTTATCAGTTAACAGACTCGAAATCTCTCGTAGGAAGCGAGATAATTGAGCTCAAAGTTCACGTATCGGGTGGGCTTCTGTTAGAACAAATGCAGAAAACTCTGGGGGATTAGAAATTCTGTATTAGGAAGCTGAGAATTTTTTTCAAATTTATAAAAACAAGATTTGGTAAGCAAAGTTTTTTTTGACCCAGAACCCCAAGATTGCCCTTTTTTGCACAGGTCAAACATCATTTTCTTTTTTGCCCTACCTCTATTTCTGACTAACACAAGGGACTCGAAAAATGACGTGATTTATGCACATTTTCTTCGTATTTCCAGATCCAATAACACTTTGACAATAGAAGAAGGAGTCCCTTTCTTGTTTCTCCCCCAAAGAATGGGATAGGAGACACCAAGCGGAAACAATTGATTTGAGAGTTCTTTCCACCTCGGGGTTTTCAGTTTTTTTGGTAGTAGTAGAGTGTAGGGACAGAAAATTCCATTTTTTGGCGTTTTCTGAGTTCAGTTTGCTTTTTTTGGAATTCTGAAATTCAAGATTCGGAGCTTTAGAAGTTCCACAGGATCTGTCTATTCTGAGATTCTGAGATTCTGAGGATTATGTTTCATGGTTCTGAAAGATCCAGAAGGTCTGATACTTTTATAGGAGTCAGAAGATCTCGAGAATGTCTCGGTCAGGATTTTCAGCGCTGGATAACTTTGACCGAATAATTTAGAATTCGAAAAATCTAAATTTCATTTTCAGAACTTTCAGATTTTGATTTTCAGAATAAGTCTCACCAAAAATTTTCCAAAAAACCTGGAAACTTTAAGAACCCTATCATCCATTGGCGTATATCCTTCTAGACCACTTCCGACTTTCTAAAAGATTGATTTCCGAATCTTACTCTTCCTACGTCACCCCAAGCTCTTCCAATTTACATATATAGTGTCCCTGAAAAAAAAGTCATCAATCCTTCTTGGTTTTTCTACTCCAGCGTTCTTCTTCCTGTCATCCCCTTCCTCTTCTTTTTTGTACCCCTTGTGCCCTATAATTTGTCACCTTCCCAATTTTGTTCTTCTTCTTCTTCTCCTTTCAATCCAATTTCCTTCTCATTTCTTCATATAGTAGCTTTACGATTCGTTTTGATCCTAAAAGAAAATTTTCAAAATTCAAATTTCCAGCCTTTTCAAAAAAAATGCAACGAGCCAATCTAATCCTAACGACAATTTTCGCCATTTTTTTCATCTTCCACACCACAGAAGCACGATTCGAACGAGTTGGATTCGTAAGGTTTGGCGGGAATTCAAACAATTGGATTCCGAAAAAAAAAGAAAATTTCAGTGACCCAGTGAAGCTACTTCTGCAGGACAGCTATTCTTCTCTGAAGAATCGAATGTACAGCCAGAAGTTAGACGGATGGAAGAAGCCAACCTCCTTCAGACAGGTAACGAGACATTTTAGATATTGGAAAGTAGGAAAAATGAGTTTAGAAGGGTCGAAAACCGATAGAAAGCGGAGTATTGAGCATGTGGCTCATTAGGGTCTTAAATACTGGGTATCAATCTCCCGCCGTAATTCCTCTAACAGAAGCTCACCCTATACGTGCACTTTGAGCTTAATTATCTCATTTCCTGTGATAGATATAAAAACGTAGACAACAAATAAAATATTAATATGAAGAGCATTTATCAGTTGACATATTTTTGATAGCTTTAATAGGAACTGAGATAACTAAGCTCAAAGTGAGCGCAGTTCAGTTGGCGCCGTTCGCTCTCGTCCGTCACCATCACACTTGCACGTTTTGAGCTCAATTATTTCGGTAGCTATCAGAGATATCAAAAATCTGTATACGGTGGGCTTCTATTAGAGTAAATAACCAATGCCGACTTCTTGTTGGTCTCTTTTTCAGAATTTTCGCTTTAAAAGGCCCCACTTTTTTAAGATCCGCAAACGAAAATACACGGCTTTCCCGCCTACATTCTACAGTAGTTTCGATATCGGGGCAATTCCATTCAACAGCCGTCGAAGTGTTCTTCTCCCATACAATGACTTGCTTTTCTCGGGAAGAAAATAGTCTGAAAACTTGAAGGAAACTGGAAAATGACGATGAAGAAGAAGTATTTTTCAAAACAAACTAAATAATTAATTCGGTGATAATTTTATTAACCTGTCGACTTTATAATAAACTGTTTATTAATTGAATTTGTACATATAATTACCGTAAAACCTCTAATAGAACGACACCCGGATCGTCCACTTTGAGCCTATATATCTCATTTTCTGTGAAAGATATCAAAAAGTGGTTAACTAGTAAAATGTTGCTGATATCCAGATAAACATTTTACTAG